ACCGGCAACTGTAACGTTAGGCGCCCAGGCGGGATATGTGTTGAGGTCGAACAGAGGTATGGCGTACGTGGACGAACAGAAGACGGTAACCAGCTGGCCGACCAGACAGACGAGCAAACCACTGAGAATCTGAAAAAAGCGCAGGGAGGGTTTATTTCACGATCACATTGAGTGCGCGTGGTTTCATTTAACTCGAGCCTGCGGACATAGTCAAAATGAACGTACGGTGGCACCACCATAAAAAAACACTAAGCATAGCATCATTACAGCATTTCGAGTTCATTACGGTTCTGCAAAGAATGTTTATAGCGAAGCCTGTATAAACATACAAAATACGCCAAAACCCCAAAAGGTACTGACCGCAATCCATAACTGCATCTTGGAATAACCGTTACTGGCATAAGCTAATGGTATTCAGAGGTTTTAAATAATCTTAGACAAATCCATACGTGGCAACACAATGATTTTCCAGAGTACCATTGCGTCGTGGCTGTGGCTATGTCAGGAGGATAAACTTTTGCAGCAACCTTCTCCGACTAAAGGAAATTTTCGAGTTGGCCCTCAATACCGTCCCATACAGTGTAAGTAAAGAGGTTGTAGCGGAATGTGCAGCTTGCATTTGCATCAAAAATTAATACGCAGACGTATACCATCTTCCAATTTTATGAAAAGGTTGGTCTTGAAGAAGTTATAGGAATTTTGTTCAACTAGACATATAAACAAATATTAAAGTCTACCTTTACAAGGCACATCAACCACTTTGGGTCGTATCTCCAAGGAAAACACACACAAAGTACACATAACACTGGAAAGTTGTAAATTAGATTCAATTAAACAATATATACCAGATACGACGACCCACTAGGACTGACATATTAAATATGGTGGACAATAAATTTCACTAGTGAAGAGGCGTATATACGGGTCATTTCGGACCAATCATATAAACGACGGGCAGCCGAACTGTACTTCGAAATCAAATTGACCTACAGCCGTCGCTAGACAACGGCAGTCTGTCAGCGAAGCGGAAATATTTACAGTCCTCATTACCACCATCACCAGCTAGACTCACCAGTCTAGTTGTAGAGTATGTTATGCGCTATGCGACATGTAGACCGTTGTTTGCATTTCCTGCCCGGGTTATTATCGCCTAAAGACAAAAGTGCGCCTGCAGGTGTCCAAAAACTAGTGTTCTGCGGCCTTCACATACTCTTTTCTACAAGAGTTTATTCATCCGCGCAGAAGGTTGCACAGAATTGAATGTACAACATTGATTCGAATAGTAACTTTTATCCCAAAAGAGGCCTTTTTGCCCTACTTAAATACACTAGCTTAATGCCTATCGGCACATGACGTTAGCAAAAAAAGACAAAGTTGCACACAAAACAACGCGGAACAGGCACACGCACACACACGCACTCACCATTTCATTCATCTTGACGCGGCCCCTGCCGAACACAATAGCGTTGGCTGGTGTTGCTGCTGGCAGGATGAAAGCCAGTGAGGCTGCAATTGTGACGGGCAGGCCCAGACTGAAGGGATGAACATGGAGAGTCTCCGCCTAAAATAAAAATTGCGGGGACTGAAGTTCAAGGTCTGACAGAAAGAAGAAGGTCAGGTTTGAGGTTTTATAGCTGCCCCTCCGCCTACAAACGACGCAAGAATAAAAGTTTGCCCCGTGTGCCGGACGTCGCGGTTAATCAGAGCACAATGCCGTTTCC